AAAATAATAATGATAATAGTAATAATAATAATAATAGTAAGAAAATAATAATAAATACAATTATTTTCTGGTTTTAGCAGCTTTAAAGAGGCTGCCTCATCTCATCATCCCTTTCCAGGGGATCAATAAACCCCAGCAGCTCCAAACCCATCAAATATTTTGATTTTTCCTCTCCTGATGAAAATTAAAATGATTTCATTTCCCTGCGGGGTCGATGCAGCCCCTGAGCGATCCCTGCTCTGTTTGGATGGAAACCAAACCCTGAAAAGGGAATTTTAAACCCCAATTTCACCTCCCTTTCCCTCATTTCATTCATTTCTATATTTAATTTAATGAATAATTAATTAATTTAATTCTATTTGGCAATAAATAACATTTCCTGATCGATGTTCCCCGCCCTCCCCAGGCATTGACAGATCCATGGAAAGTTTATTTGGAATTATTTTGATCGTTTCCCCTCAGGGAATTATTGGATTTTTTTTTAGCTCATTCCTAAAAATAAATCATGGAAAATCGATGGGAAATAAAACCAACTCTGAGTGTTTGAAACAAACCCGGCCCGAGAAAAATAAAACTGAATTTTATTTTAAATAATTTAATTTTCAATTGAATTTTATTTTAAATAACAATTTAACTTTAAATTGAATTTTAAATTGAGTTCAAAATAATTACTCAATTTCATTTTAATTAATCTAGTTTTCAATTCTATTTCAATGATAATTTAATTTGAATTAATTTTGTTTTAAATTCTATTTAAACAGTGGATAACGATGGATAATTGGGGTTATCCCAATTAATTCATGAATGGATAATTTGGGTTTTTTTCCCATTTTTCCAGGTTTTTCCTGGGAATGGAGGTGCCTCTGGTGCTGCTCCTGACCCGGCTTGTGGCCGGAGTGGCCGGAAAATCCCCGGAAAACTCGGTGGGTGCGGCGGGAATTCCAAAAATTCCAAACAAAATTGGGATTTCCTGATCTGAATTCCAAAAATTTGGGATTTCCTGCTCCGAAACTTCCCCAAAATTTGGGATTTGCCTCTCCAAAATCCGAATTCCCATAAATTTGGGATTTGCCGCTCCAAATTCTCTCAGAATTCCCATTTTTCTGTTTTCCCGGCAGCTCTCCGATCCCGAATGTTGTGTGGAAATGTTGGATTCCAACAGCTCCTGCCCCGTCTCCCACCACTGCAGCCCAGGTAGGGAAATCTGGGATAAAATCCGGGAATTTTGGGAAAATTTGGGTTGGAAAAAAACCCAAATTTGGGATAAAATCTGGGAATTTTGGGAAAATTCGGGATGGGAAAAACCCAAATTTGGGATAAAATCCGGGAATTTTGGGAAAATTTGGGATGGGAAAAACCCAAATTTGGGTTGGAAAAAACCCAAATTTGGAATAAAATCCAGGAATTTTGGGAAAATTTGGGTTGGAAAAAAAACCAAAACTTTTTTATCCCTTTTCCCATTTTTTGGGGGTATTTTCACCCTTTTCCCCCATTTTTTGGTGTATTTTCACCCCTTTTCCCATTTTTTGGGTTATTTTCACCCTTTTTCCCCTGGTTTTTTTTTGGTGTTTTCATCCCTTTTTCACTATTTTTATCCCTTTTCCCATTTTTTGGGTTATTGGCACCCTTTTTTTCCCATTTTTTGGGTTATTTTCAACCTTTTTTCCCATTTTTGGGATATTTTCACCCTTTTTTCCCATTTTTCCAGGCTGTTACCGGCGCTGGAACGAGGACGGGAGCAGCAGCTGCGTCCGCTGCGGGAACGGGAACAGGAACTGCAGCTCCAGTGGGTTTGGGAACAAAATCTGCCCCAAAAAACCCCAAAAATCCCCAAAATTGTAAAAATATCCACATTTTTAGTGTATTACTGGAACCGAAAAACTGCCCCAAAAACTGCCCCAAAAAACCTCAAAAAAAATCCCAAAATTGTAAAAAAATTCCACATTTTCGTCGTAATACTGGAATCAAAAAGTACCCCAAAATCTGCCCCAAAAAACCCCAAAATTGTAAAAAAATTCCACATTTTCATCGTAATCCTGAAACCAAAAACTGCCCCAAAATCTGCCCCAAAAAATCCCTGAAAATGGTAAAACAATGCACATTCTTAGTGTAATACTTGAATCAAAAACAGCCCCAAAAACTGCCCCAAAAAACCCCAAAAATTGTAAAAATATCCACATTTTTAGTGTAATCCTAGAATTGAATATTGCTCCAAAAACTGCCCAAAATTCTAACAAAATGCACATTTTTATGGTAATCCTGGAACCAAAAACTGCCCCAAAAAATAGCCCTAAAAATTATTAAAAAATGCGGATTTTGATTGGGATTTTGATATCGAAATCTACCCAAAATGATTAAAATTTGCAGATTTATTTGGGATTTTGCTCGGGGCCGGATTTGGGGTGAATTTGGGCTGAAATTTGGGGTTTTGCTGTTTTGGTCAGGGCCGGATTTGGGGTTAAAATTTGGGGTTTTGGTGTTTTGCTCACAGCCCAGAGCGAAGGGGGGAATTCCCCGATGAACGCGAGCACCGAGCGCCCGACCCCGAGGGGACCCCGTGAGTGGGGAAATTTGGGAATTTTTGGGGATTTTGGGAAAATTCGGGGGATTTGGGGAAAATTTGGGA